TCTGTGAATGAGTGTGTGAGTGTGTATCTCTGTGTGTGTGTGTGTGTGTGTCTCTGTGAGTGAGTGAGTGAGTGTGTGTGTGTGCTTGAGTGAGTGTGTGTGTGTGTGTGTGCGCTTGAGTGAGTGTGTGTGTGTGTGTGTGTGTGTGTTTATGGGAGTGTATATCTGTGTATCTGTGTGTGTTTGTGCCTCAGAGCGGTGCGGTTCTGCAGCTTCCTGTGAGTCCAGTTCCTCCAGATCAAGACCCATAATACATCACAGCTGTTGTGTGTGTGTGTCTCCACAGACATAGATGAGTGCACGTTTGCAGACATCTGCGTGAACGGCCGCTGCCGCAATATCCCGGGTCTGTTCCGGTGCCTGTGTGACCCCGGGTACGAGCTGGACCACAGCGGAGGAAACTGCACAGGTCTGGGGTCAGCTCACGCACCAGCAGTGCTGGGAACTAACTAGTTACATGTAACTAAATTACAAAATAATCAATTACAGTTACTGGAAATAAATGTTTAATTCAATTACAGTTACTTATGAAAATGTTAACAATTACAAAGGGAGATACATCTGAATTTTTTCCACACACACCCCCACATACAGATTTAGCTGATTTCTTTCATAAATTGCATTGACTGCTCTAAAATATAAGACACCAGGAGTTTAGGACACAAAATAGGACATGTGATTATTCGATAACTGTTTTATTTCCTTTATTTTTTTAAGATGAACTGTTTTAAGCATTGTTAGATGCCAGTGTTTTCTGTCATAGCTATACATATATCAAAATCAGTATCATAGTTACTAAACTATTTCTTGTTATGGTTTTAAATCAGTATTTAACCTCAGAAGGATCTCAAAGCAAGTCTGATTTTGTGGTGTCTGTGCTTTAAAATGTAATTATTATAATCTTAATTCAAGTGATGAAGGATTCTCTGACAGTAATCAGTGTTGAGTTCTACTGTGAGATTAATCCTGCCTGCTTTACATGTTTCAAAATAATTAACAGGTGAAAACATTCTTTAGAAATTTAGAAAAATACTTTAATAAAGTAATTGAAATACTTACACTACTTATTACATTTTAGATAGGGTAACTTGTAATCTGTAACCTATTACATTTGCAAAGTAACCTTCCCAGCACTGCACACCAGACACTGACACGTTTGACCTCTCCTCTGATCCCTCTGTTCTCTCTGCGTTCTGTGTCAGATGTGGACGAGTGCATTAGCCCCACCACCTGCATCAGCGGCCTGTGTGTGAACACGCCGGGCAGTCACATCTGCAGCTGTCCGCCGGACTTCGAGCTCAACCCCACCGGAGTCGGCTGCGTCGGTGAGATGCCTGAACCCAAGCAAATGCAGCGGCTGCCGCCTGCGCCGCAGCACTCATGATGACTTCTGTCTGTCTGTCTTGCAGACACTCGCTCTGGAAACTGCTATCTGGAGGTGCGATATCGTGGCGATTTCTCCGACAGTCTGGATTGCTCGACCGAGATCGGAGTGGGAGTTTCCAAAGCGTCCTGCTGCTGCTCTCTGGGTCAGGCCTGGGGGTCACCCTGCGAGACCTGTCCGCCGCTCAACTCCAGTGAGACACACACACGCGCGCACACACACACACACACACACGCGTGCACACACACACGCTCACACACGCACACACAGACATACACACTCACACACACACAAGGGCACTCACACACACAAGGACACACACATGCACGCTCACACATACACTCACACGCTCACACACACACATGCACACACTCACACGCTCACACATACACTCACATGCACACACACATACACGCTCACACACACACACGCACACACACACACACACACACACACAAGCACACACATAACATTACACCTAGGTTTACATCATGAGTTTAATGAACAGCTAATAATTCATTAAATCATAAAAATGTAAAATTAAAATAAATCTTTTTAATATTAAAACAATCAAAATAAAACACTTAAAAATTAAATGTTATACCTGTTTTCCTGCATGTCATGTGACCATGTGAAGAATATGTAATCGTTTAATCAATAAAAAAGTATTTAACTAACTGTTAAGTAACTGTTGTCCGAATATGAGTATTTTAAAATTTAATGTAATCTAATTACAAGTCCTTATTACATGTAAGCGGTAGCTACCTGACACTGGTTATTGTTATAGTTATCATTAATGTTTATCATTATAGTTGTTGGTATATTTATCATTATCTGATGTGTTGTTCGTTTCTCTCAGCGGCGTACAGGGTTCTGTGTCCTGGAGGAGAAGGATTCCGACCCAATCCCATCACTGTGATACTAGAGGGTAGATCTACAACACTCACACACACACTCACACACACACACACACACACACACTCACTCACTCACTCTCTCTCACACACACACACACACACACTCACTCACACACACACACTCACTCACTCTCTCTCACACACACACACACACACACTCACTCACACACACACACTCACTCACTCACTCATTCTCTCA